CTCCGAGTAAGTTGCCTTCTCCCCCAGCCCTGGGCTCTTCCACCCCATCCAGTGATCCGTCCTCTTCTCTCCCCGCCTCATTCCTCTCTCCTATGGGCGCCCCATTTCTCAGTGCTCCCCTGCAGCAGCCCCAGTAGGGCTCCAGAGACAGAACAATGGCGACAGCCCACACCTTCCTCCAAGTCCCCCAGTCCAGTCCAGGGGCTCCACGCACTCATTCATCATGCCTTTATTTACTGTGGATCGGCTGGGGGCCAGGCTCCCACTGGGCCGTGTAAACGCAGTTGAACAGCCCGGTGAAAAAGCAATCTCCATCCCTTCCTTACCCATGAGTGCTTGACAAACTAGCAGGGAAGCCAGCATTAATCACATCATTACACAAATAATTAATTGAGTGCATTTGTCCTAAGTGCTATTAAGAAAAAAGACAGGGATCCAAGAGATTGTATAACAGGGACGGTGGGGAAACTAATTTAGTCCAGGAATTGGGGCAGACTTTACTGAGAAAGGGACTGGTGGGATCTTGATGGAACACACTTGGAGAATAGAAATATAAATAGAGAATGGTTATATCATTTCTTTGTTGTGAGTTTATGCTTTATTTCTATAATAATATTATTTTGTTTATATTTTACTTGTATTTTTGTATTGTACATGTTACTTTTTTTCTTCCCATGAGCTCCTCACCTTACAGTTTACGAAGCACTTGTCTACCCTTCCTCTCTTTGGCTCCTCACACAGCCTTCCGGAGGCTGCAAGTCCCAGAGACTGCTCACCTCTTCAAAGGAAAGCGACTGGGCTTTGGGGTCAGACCATCCTGATCTCAGATCCATTCCTAACTTGCTATGTGACCTTAAACTCACCACTCTTCTCTGATTTGCAATGTCCTCAGCAGTTAAATGGGTCAGATCAGTGGTCCCCACCCACCAGCCAGGGGACCTGTTAAGTTTTACGGCAACGTTCCCATTAGACATCTGCAAAATTAAAGTACAAAATACAGACAACATAGTGGGTTGGGTGTTTTTAAAAATAAAACTAGTTATTTAAAGGAAGTAGCTGTCTTTTATTCTGAGACAATGTCTTACATTTTTACATTAAAATATCCTTTATTTTATGAAATGATGTCGTGAAATGATGGTGGTTTTTTAAAAAATGTCTTTAGTTAGCAAGTTGGCAAGTCCTTGATTTTAAAGGCTTATTTAATCCTAAAGATGGGGACCACTGGTAGAGCCCCCACTTTAGCTTCCAGCGCTTCTGTGTGAGGGAAGACTTTCTGAGTCTGAACAGTGACCCCAGTTTCTCCCTCCACAGGGTCCAACCGCCGCTACCAGGTGAGCGCCTTGCACACCAGCAAGGCCTGCAATGTCATTAGCAAATACACAGCCTTCGTGCCTGTGGACGTGAGCATGAGCCGGTACCTGCCCACCATGGTGGAGTACCCCAACTCTGGTAAGGCAGGTGAGCGGCGGGGGCCCTCCTGGGGGCCAAGCAGCCCCGGTGGACTGGGGAAGGGGGCTGAGATACAAAGGACCACAGACCAGCAGGGAGGGCTGTAAGACAGGGCCTAGAAGCAGAAAGGCCCCCAGTGGATGATTTGGCTGCCAGCGGGTGGGAGCCCCTGGGGCCTCATCCCACTGCTCTGCAGAGGCTGTGAAATCACCCTAGTCCTTTTTTCCACCAAATGAAAATGATTTTATTGTGTTTCTTCAAATGGGACAATATGTGCTCATTATAGAAAATTCTAAACTATAGAAAGATATAAAATGTAAAAAATAACTGAGACCAACAGTCATCCAGGAATGTATATTAGTCACCTGCTTGGTGTGACCATCCTTCCAGACTTCTCTCTGTGGATATCAACATGTAGAAAAATCAAAAGACAGATCATTTTACATGAATTGGATTATCCTAATATGTGCTATATATTTTACAAAATATGGGCGTGGAAAGTGTCACTCCATGAAATGAATCTATATCATTTTAATAGCATATTCCCCTGCAGGTAGATGTCATCCTCAGAATAGCCAATTAGTGTTCCAAAGCACTTTGTATATATTTTCAATCCTTTAATCCTCAAAACAGCTCCACAAAGTAGACACTATTATTATCCCCATTTTATAGATGGAAAACAGAGGCAGAAGGAGCTAAGTTACTTTCCTGAGGTCACACAGCCGTAATGGGCTGGAGCCAGGCTTTACATTTATTGTCCTGGCTCTGGATTATGCATTTTCCTCCACTCCTTTCTACTGCCTCTGAAAATTTATTGCAGCCTTTTAAAACCTATTTAGACCTTTCGTTTATTCCCCATTTGGTTATTGTAAATTATACTGCAAAGAACATCTTTGTGCATCTGTCTGGTTATCACCTCAGTGTTAATTAATTCGTAGAAGTAGGACTGCAATGTCAAGGGGATGCCCGTTCAAAACTGTGATGTATGTTACCAAACTGCCCCCTTACCGTCCCACAGGTTATTCAAATGTCCATCCTCTCCAACACTGAATATTGTTTATCTTTCTAAACTCTGCCAGTCTGATAGGTGAGAAGAGAATCTCTCTTTTGTCATTTTTTTAATCGTGAGATGCTTTTCATGTTTATGAACTATTGGTGCTTTATCTGTTTCAAATTACATTTTCCTGTCCTTTATGGTCACCCCTCCCCTGCTTTGTATTAGCAGACCTCCATAAAAAATTGTGTTTGGAAATAGAATATGCCCTTCCTAATTCCACCTGTCCCCCTTTTTTCTCTGTGGTATCAAAATGATCAACCCTCCTCAACTGCTGTCATTTCAGGCAATGGAGTGGCCATTTAATCAGGCTGTTGCCTTATTCTTGTTGCAAGGATGACCATCCCTCCCACCCATCTCTGACCAGCCTGCTAGCATCTGTAGCCACAGCCTGGGAAGTTAGGGACCTGGCCCATGTCTTAACCAAAGTCCCAAAGCCCCCTAAGATCTGGATCAGCACTTCCCCAAGTGTGTTTCAAGAAACTAGAACTCTAATTTCATGTCCTATGAATAGCCATCCAGCATAAAAATAGAAAATACCAGATTAGGAAATACATTTAAGAACCACTGGATTAGCTAAAGTTCAAATGCTTTCTTTACTGCAGAACTTCTCAGAGCCTTTAGTATGTTAATATACATCAGGAGGCTCAGCGATGGGCTACAGAATGCAGCTTCTCCAAAACTTGTTTCCCAACACAACTCCAATTTTTAAGGAAAAACTTACAGACTAGTGTTCTCTGAGAGTGGGGTTCCCTAAAGCGTACTTTAGGGTGCTGTAACATCTTTCTTCTTCCTCCTCCTCCTCCTCCTCCTCCTCCTCTTCTTCTTCTTCTTCTTCTTCTTCTTCTTCTTCTTCTTCTTCTTCTTCTTCTTCTTCTTTGAGAGAGTCTTGCTCTGTTGCTCAGGTTAGAGTGCAGTAGCACAATCACAGCTCACTGCAATCTCCAACTTTTGGGCTCAAGCAATCCTCCCACCTCAGCCTTCCAAGTAGCTGGGAATACAGGCACGCACTACCACATTCAGCTAACTTTTTTTTTTTTTTTTTTTTAATAGAGATAGGGTCTCGCTATGTTACCCAGGCTGGTCTCAAACCCTGAGCTCAAGTGATCCTCCCATCTCAGCCTCCTGAAGTGCTAACATTACAGACATGAACCACCCTGCCCAGCCCAGGGTGCTGTAAATTCATCTCTTTTCCATCCACCCCCTCTTAGTAATGCCCTGGGATTTCAGGGGCCTGCGCTGTGGGAGGAGTACTTGGGACATGGATCTCTGAGACAGTAAACAGAGAGAAGAACAGAGTGTTCCTGAGAAAACTGGCCTTTTAACTTCCTGGAAAACATTGTGGCTTCTAGAACATTCTCTCAGCAATAGTATCTACCCAGCAAGCTAGATATTATCCCCGTTTTCCAGATGAGGAGACCATGGCTCAGTGGGGTCTGCACCCATCCAACTGGAAAGCGATGGGGCTGGGCCTCAAACCCGGGTCTTTCTGACTCTAAAGCATATGGTCTTACCTTGTACTTTGCCTTCCTGCCTTTGGATAATTGAAAGATTGAAGCCAGAATCATTCCTGCCAGCCCTGGGGGAGAGGCAAAGGACTGGCACATTTGTACCCAACCACCCGCTTCCCCTTGTCTTCTGTGAAGGAGCTGCCCTGCGTATGCTCAGTTCTCGAGCTCTGGCCCAACAGTGGAGGGGCACCTCTTCTGGCTTCGGACGGCCGCAGACCATGCTTGGAGAAGACTCGGCAGCAGGAGATGGTAAATTTCAGGCCCTAAGGAAGAGCCACCCTGGTCACTTTCGGAAGCCTGGGCCCCTGAGGTTACTGTGTTCTCATGTCCAAGGCCCTAGGACCTCTCTCTGAGTCTACACTGTGGGCTTAGGCAGGCCCAAGGCAAAGCCAGGCATCCCAGGCTCTCTGAGGCCTAAGAGGGACAGAGAGGTTCGGTATGGCCTGAGCACACCACCACTGACACAGCTCTCTCTTTGCCAGGGAGCGGCACCACCTCCTATGGGCACCTCTCCCCTTCTGAGCTCTGCTGACCCTGGTGCTGTTCCCTGCCTCCAGCCTCTGAGTCCTCCCAGGCACCAACTGCCAGGAAACCTAATAAACAAGGGAAAAAGCAAAGAGCGAAGAGGCAGTCCCATCTGTTTGGGTCCCACCATCTGTTTCTTTCAGGATTCCCAACAGCCTCCTTTGAGCCTTCACCTGGTTTCATTGTGCCTGAAGCTTGGCTCCTTGAAGAGCCAGGTTTTGACCTTTTGGTGACCTTGCACTAGTTCCCAGGATGGCTTTAACCCTCTGTGTCCTGCGTGGATGTGTGTCTTTCTGTCTCTCTAAAGACAGCCTAACTGCTGCACTCGTCCTAACCCCTTTCTAGGTACCCTCACGTGCACAGTGAGGATCTCCTGCCTTTTGCTGTGCAGGAGGAAGACATCAGAGGTCCCGCCTGGCCACTAGTCCAGCCACCCAGCCCATAAGGATTTTTTATTCCAGGTCCTAGAAAGTGTTCACAGACACTGATGGGTTTTAAAACAAAAACAAAAACAGAACCCGGTGTGACGGGGTGGAAACACAGAGGAGCTCTTCAGAATCAAAATGTTCTTTCAATTTCTTGGTCCCGTTGGCCTCCAAAACCCAGGAGAACCAGCTCCACCCCTGAGCCAAGCTGAGCGTCCAGGCTTCAGGAAATTGCTGGTCTATACCTTCCTTTCTCCGAAGCTTAGCTTTTTTGGGTGGCCCATGGCTTCTGTCAAAATCACGAATCCTTTATTTATTTATTTATTTATTTATTTATGGAGTCTCACTCTGTCCCCCAGGCTGGAGTGCAGTGGCGCGATCTCGGCTCACTGCAACCTCCACCTCCTGGGTTCAAGCGATTCTCCTGCCTCAGCCTCCGGGGTAGCTGGGATTACAGGTGCCTGCTAGCATGCCTGGCTAATTTTATATTTTTAGTAGAGTTGGGGTTTCACCATGTTGGCCAGGCTAGTCGCAAACTCCTGACCTCAAATGGTTCACCACCTCAGCCTCCCAAAATGCTGGGATCACAGGCATAAGCCACCATGCCTGGCTACAAATCCCTTCCTTGAAATTGTTCTTTGATTCGTGCCCACATTCCTGACTTTTTTTTCCTTTTTTTTTTTTTTTTTTTTTTTTTTTTTTTTTTTGAGGCAGAGTCTGTCGTCCAGGGCTTTACTAAGCACTTAGCAATGGACTAGGCACTATCTGCGTGTTATCTCATTTAATCTTTACCACACTGTGAGATAGATAATATTATCCCGAATTTGCAATCAAAATTTATAAAGTAATTTTACCAAGTCCCCACAGCTGGTCAGTGGTGGTGGTGGTGGTGGGGGTCAGGATTTGAACCTAGGCCTGTCTAACCTTATGGTGGGGCAACGGTTATATCTGTGAAAGATGAAGGCCCATCCGAGCAGGGTTTGAAACCCTAGACTTACTCTCCAACCCACCTACAGACACCATGAATTAGACCATCACTCTCCTGGGGGAATGGGGGGCTAGGAAGGGAGGGGAGAAGTCCAGCCTCACTAGTTCCTCTATCCTAGACATGGAGGCAAGTCCCACTGCTCCCTTCAGGGAGACCACATCCCCTGGCCGCGAGAAGCACGGTGCTTCTGAAGGTGAGTGGGCAGGTGGCCCTGCCTCTCCATCAAGATGGTGACAGGGATTGGTCCTGGGGTCAGGAGAGTGTCTTAGCACCAACAAAGTCCTCAGGGCTTCGTGGAGTCCTCAAAGCAGCCCTCTGCACTGGGAATAGGATTATCCCCAATTAAAAGATAAGGAACAGGTGCAAAGAGGTGAAGTGACTTGCCCAAGGTCACAGAGCACACTGGTAACAGAGCTGGGCTTGGATCAGGCCTCCCAGTTCCCTGCTGAGGGACCATTTTGCCACTCCGCTCTGCCTAGAGTCCTCTAGCAACGTGCCAAGGAGGTCAACTCAGTGTTCCCATTTGGGAATGAGCAGAGCTGAGTGAAGCTGTCACTGCCCCCACAAGTAACTTTCCAGAAGATCCCAGGGGCTGCCGGCCAAGGAATCTTGGAGGCCAGCTTTTTACATGGGGATGTAATCTCATCCCACCTCACACCAACTGGAGCAGAAAGAGCTCCGCAGCCTAATGGTTAGCTCCAGTCCCTAGGAGCGTAGCTAAGCCCCTGCCCCTCTCTGGGCCTCTATTCCCCCTGTTGGTCAGTAAGCAGTTGGACAGGGTCATCTTCAGGTCTCAACTCGGTCATTCCATGGCTCTCCAGGTCCCCTGCGCAGCCTGGCCACAAATACTCTTTCTTCCATGAAGGCCTCAGAGAATCTCTTTGGATCCAGGTAGGTGGGATTTCTAATAAAGGTACACTCTCCTGCCACCCATTTTCCTGGGGTGGTCCCTGGGGTTTTCCCTGACTTGGAAGGCCAAAGGCAGGTTCAGCCTGACATTTAGGCAGGTGTCATAAAAAAGGCACTCCTGCCCAGAGCAATCACTGTCTCCAGGCCTCACCCTACCTCAAATCCCCCACTTTACTTTATCTCCCACACTTCCAAGATATCTTTCCAAATGCAAGTACACATGGGAAGGCTGACAGAAAACTCTTCTGACCACTGGGCTAGACAAGAATATGATAGTAAAAGAGGGTCATGATCCAGGTGTAGCAGCTCACCTCTGTAATCCCAGCATTTTGGGAGGCCGAGGCAGGAGGATCACTTCAGGCCGGGAGTTCGAGACCAGCCTGGGTAACACAGTGTGACCCTGTCTCTACAAAAAATTTAAAAATAGGCCAGTCGCGGTGCTCACCCCTGTAATCCCAACACTTTGGGAGGCCAAGATGGGTGGATCATAAGGTCAGGAGTTTGAGACCAGCCTGACCAACATGGTGAAACCCTGTCTCTACTAAAAATGCAAAAATTAGCCAGGTGTGGTCGCGCATGCCTGTAATCCCAACTACTCGGGAGGCTGAGGCAGGAGAATTGCTTGAACCTGGGAGGCAGAAGTTGCAGTGAAATGAGATCATGCCACTGTACTCCAGCCTGGGCAACAGAGCAAGACTCCATCTCAACAACAACAACAACAACAAAAAATTAAAAAATGAGCCAGACATGGGTGCACGCCCGTAGTCCAGGAGACTGAGGTTGAGAGGATTGCTTGAGCCCAGGAGGTTGAGGCTGCAGTGAGCTACGATCGTGTCACTCCAGCCTAGGTGACAGAGTGAGATCCTGTCTTAGAAGCAAAACAGGACAAAAAAAAGAGGGTCCTCAGGAGAACATTAACCTCTTCCTAGTCGCAGGTGCTGCTGACTCATTGAGTGACTTGGAGCAGTTGCTTCAAGCCCATCTTTCCAGGCTTCCGCTTCCTTAGCTGTCAGATAAGGTTGGAGGGAGCCATCTGTTGCATCCCTTCTGACCCTGACTTTCAGGGGCTTCTGGGTGGGCACTGGAGGTTGGGATGCCCAGGGCCACCTGACTTCACCTGCACAGGCTAAATCTCAACAAGTCCAGGCTACTGACGCGAGCAGCCAAGGGCTTCCTGAGCAAGCCACTGATCAGAGCTATGGAGTCGACCTCCGGGAACCAGAGCTTCGACTACGTACCACTGGTGAGTGCCCTGACCCCAGGTGTCAGTCTCCCTCGGCCCCACTCAGCAGCAGGGCCTTCCTGTGATCCCCCTGCCCACCTCTCCACTTCCTCAAAGAGAAGGCGGCTTTGGTCTTAGAGCTCAGATCCCCCTGAGTTTTGAAGCTTCCTAGAGCTTCCCACCCAAGTAGTTAGCATGGCAGAAGGAGTTTGCATGAATCTCCCCTGCCCAGAGGCCTAGGGATATTGCTAGAAGCCAGCACCAGCATCACGAAAATTCTTTGCAATCTGCTATCTTTGCCTTAAAAATTCGTGGGAATTTTGCATTCTACTCCACGCATCTATGTGTATCTGTTTTTCAATACATAAAAATAAGCTTTGAAATGACTCATAAGTGAGTAAAATTAACATCCCAGGAACATGGACCGTGTTTAGCAACTGGGTCTGCAGACACCCCAGCATGCTGAGGCAGGGTGAGAGGCCCAGGTCTGGAGTGGGCTTCTCTGAATTAAGGAGCAAGGGAGACTGGCCGTGCCACATCTGGGGCCCCTCAGGACTTGGGAAACAGAGGATGCTGGAAGGAGGGGCACAGTTTGAGCATCACAGCATACCTCTTCTGTCCCTGCATACCCAAGTGCATAATATTGTGAATTTCCAAATATCCAGGGCGACTGGGCACTAGGCATGTTTTCACTCAACAAGTATTTATTGAGTCAGGCCCAGTGCTAGACCCGGGAGAGAAAACATTGAACTAGACAAACGTAGTTTCTGCACTCATGGCGCTAAGTGTCTAATAGGATTCAGACAAGGAACCAGGCAATTCTAACCGTTGGGAGTGGCAGTGGGAGAGGTCTCGTTTGGTTGCGGAGTATAGGAGGTGGACATCTAGCCCAGGCTTGAGGTAGGGGGAGCAGAACCAAGCATGACTTCTTGGAGAAGGTCAAGGCTAAGCCAAGACTTGCAGGATGAAGAGTTTGGCCAAAGGCCTCCAGAGGAGAGACACAGCTTGAGAGCTGGGGAATGGAGTTGGAGCGGGTAAGAGTCAAACCAGGGTTAGGCGGTGCAGAGCTTTATTGATCGTATTTTGGACTTAGTCTATGAGACACTGAAGTCATTGAACTGAGCCTCCAAAAAGTGTGTGATCTATGCCTCATAGAGATCCCTGTGTATGTAGGACAGATGGATTGGGGGTAGGGAGAGGGGAGGAAAGAGGAGGCAGGAATAACATAAGGAAGCACGTGATGGATTGCAGAGCGATTTAGAAAGTAGACCTATTGGGACTCGGAAACTGATGGTTACACAGGGAGAAAGAGGAAAGAGAGCTGCTAGAGTTCACTGCATGGCAAGGGACATTTCCGGTGGTCGAGCTGGGCCCACCCACCTAGGACAAGAGGCAAATATGCAGTGAAGATGTTGACTTGGGCTTGGAGAATGATCTGTTTGAAGTGTCTGCAGGATAAAGGGTAGAGATGCTCAATTGACCTGGGTATCCTGAAAATCCCCCAGGCAGGCAGGGTGGGACGGGCAACATGGATCCAGGCTTTCGCATGGCCTGGGGCTCCCTGGGCTAAAATATTTGAGGCCCACTGAAGGGCTTCCCCCGCTCCAACAGGTGTCTCTGCAGCGGGCCTCCGGAGCCTTCCTGCTCAACCAAGCCTTCTGTGAGGCCACACACATCCCCATGGAGAAGCTCAAGTGGACATCCCCTTTCACCTGCCACCGAGTGTCCCTCACTGCCCGCCCGTCTGAGTCCAAGACCCCGAGTCCCCAGCTGTGCACCAGCTCCCCATCTCGGCACCTGTCCTGTGACAGCTTCTCCCTGGAGCCTCTGACCAAGGGCAAGCTGGACCTGGAGCCGAAGGCAGTGATGGAGCACACTGGGAAGCTGTGGGCCACGGTAGTGGGGCTGGCATGGCTGGAGCACAGCTCGGCCTCCTACTTCACTGAGTGGGAGCTGGTGGCCGCCAAGGCCAACTCATGGCTGGAGCAGCAGGAAGTACCCGAGGGCCGCACGCAGGGCACACTCAAGGCCGCTGCCCGCCAGCTTTTTGTGCTTCTGCGGCACTGGGATGAGAATCTCAAGTTCAATATGCTCTGCTATAACCCGAATTATGTGTAGTTGGGTGAGGGGGAGGCTGGGTGGAGGGAAGGGTGGGGAGGAGAGGGATGGGTAGGGTCATGTCGGCCTGCTTTGGGGAGCTTTTGGAGCTGTAGCCAATACATCAGTTACTAGAAAGAGCCCTGGACTGGCAGCCAGGAGGCCTGAGTTCAATCCCAACTTTGCTACCATCCAGCCATGCAACTTTAGGCCAGTCCCTGCCCCCTATCTGGGCCACAGTTCCCTCATCTATAAAATAAGAGGGTGAGATGAGGGAAGTGGAGTGGATCTTAAACGGTTCAGCGGTTCCTTTCTGCCCATGCAGGCAGTCCCAGGCCGACTGCTGCTGGGGCTGGGGAAGGAAGTCGCAGTGGAAGCCTGAGACCTCTCTGGAGGTAGACCACGTGGGCACAGCAATGCCCACTCAAATAAAAGGGCAGATGAGAGGACCCAGTGACCGCAAGTAACCAGGCCTACAGGCTTGCAGAGGCACATAGAGACTAGCCAGTCTGGTGCTTGTAGGACAGGCTCTTGTCTCCAAGGTAACAGCCTAGGACCCCCTAAATCCCACTTAAAAGCCAATTGGAGAACCATCCTTCTCAACGCTTTTCAAAAGAGTCGCTCGGGAGCCTTTTGTTTTGGCTAGGAAGCTTCCTTAGTACATGCTAGTATTGACTTACAGATCATTAGTGGTTCCCTCACTAAGAAGAGGTGGTGGCAGGACCAGGCAGACACCTTGTGAGTTGACGTGTTCGATTTAAGTGGCAGTCTGTGCGAAAATAGTCCTAAAAGAACAGACATGGTCACAGAAGTCAATGAAGACACCAGACAACACCTTAATTTACATACTTTTAGAAACTGGGTAAAGCAAACTGCATCACTTGTACTGAGGCACTAGGGAGGCACCTCCAAGTAGGTCATGCCATGGGATCAGGGTGGCCTCTCGAGCCATGCCACGCTGTGGGAGAGAGGCACCTTTTTGCAACAGAGAGCCATGCTTGGCTGCAGTGCCTTTGGGGATGGCCGCTCTGGCCAGGGGAGACCTGATTTGTTTGGTGAAATGAATGAATTGACACTTTAGGCAGGATCCCCAGGGGCTTCCTGCCCTCAAGCCCACTGTGTGATGCTCCACTGTGTGGGGACTGGAGTGCTGTGGCCTCAGATACCCTAATGGCTGGCACTGAGCTGCCCAGTCTCCTCTGCCCCACTGACTCCCCTGGAGGTGGGTCTAGACCTCACCAAGGAACCCCACTAGCTTGGGACTTCAGGCTGAATCTATCCACCCTGGAAGCCTCCTCCTTCAAGGCCTTAATCTCTCCTCATCAAATTCCTGTCCCAACCTTGGCGTGAAGCTCCACAGACTTCCCTCTTGGGAAGGCCTTGAGAGCTTAGCTCATCAAACCAACCCATGGGGTCCTGTGGGCTCTGGCGCAAGCCCCAGCCTCAGAAAGACTCGAGGGGGGGTGCAGCCTCCAGCAGGGGCTGCAGTCAGGGAGGAGGCTCCAGCAGAACGCCCACCGGGCACAAGGGGAGAAAAGGCAGCCCCAACAGGATACAGTGCCCTGCCCCCCACTCCCCACCCCTTCATCTCACCCTGCTGCTATGCCACAAGTCTCCCAGGAGGGATTCTCACAGCCTTTTGGAATACTTAAGATAAAATCCCATTGCTGCCTCGTGAACTGGCCCTGCTTCAGACTTACCCTCTGGGGAGCAATCCAGGCAGGCAAGCCTGGACACTGTGGCCATCATGACTCCAGGTGGGGCAGGACGCCAATCAGGGTGTTGGCTCAAAGTCAGTGCCACCAAGGCGGGTAAGGGCTTTGGGCTGTCTTGCTCCAGGCTTCCAGGAGATGGGAGCAGAGCTTTGTCATCTCCCTGCACACCCCCCATCCCTTGCCAAAAAAAAGTATTTAGCTATGCAGGCAGCAGCCTCAGCTTCAGGGTAAGGGTGGCCGGGGGTGGCATCTACTTCCTGGACCACAAGTAATGGAAAAAATGCCGGAACGCCCAGACTCAGGTCTCAGCCTAGTACTAGTTGGGGCAAGTGGTTTCTTCTCCTAGGTGCCCTGGAGCTGGGGCTTTCTCCTGCTCTGACAGTCCCAGACTCTCTGCCTTTGAGATGTTTCCTTCTTCATGACTGTGAATTTGCTTGAGTTCTCTGTGTGACCTTGAGCAAGTGGCGTGTGTGTTCGGGGCCTCTTTCCTTCTCTACGTAACCAGGCAGAAGTGGGCTGTCCAGCACCTCCCTGCCCCACCAGATGAGTCTGATTCTGGGTCTCCAGGCTTCAGCATGGACAGTGGCCAGGGCTGGAAGTGAATCGGTCTCTGCCAGGATAGAACTAGTGCTACAAGATGCCTAGCAGGAGCACAAGAAATCCAGCAAGGTGGCGGGCACGCCACCCACTTCTCAAGGAAAGTTCCTCAGACTCTGCTCCCGCACTAGCCACTGGAGCTCTGCAACATGTTTGAGGCCCAAGAAAACTGCTGAGGTCTGCAACCGTGGCTCCCCTGCCCAGCCCCAAAGGTGCAGAAGAACAAATCTTCCTTGGTTGCGAATAACCCAAGAGCTGTGGGGGCAGGTCTGGACAAGAGACATTTTTAAAGACCTTCAGGGGTATTGAGATGACACGCAGCCTCAAAACCGTGCTACCAGGATTGCTAGGCAGAGGACCTAAGGGACACGTTTTAAGGAAAAGATAAGAACCTTTGGTAATTAGTGCATGCATTGAAGCTAACAGAGTTCTAAAGGTTCTGAAGCAGGGAACACATTGCCCCTGCAGTCTCATTTACTTTGGGTTAATCTGGTTTAACTTGTTCAACCAGCCCTTGCTTTCTAGGTCATACAAAGGAATATTTATGCCCTGTACTGTCTGAAGAAAGGGCTAATGCCACTGTATGACAAAGCCCAGCCTCCAAGCTGCCCTCAGTGGGAAAAACACTGAGCTGAGAGCTGAGGAACCCAAGCATTGGTCCCAACTCCACCACCAGTGTGCTGTGTGACTTCTGGAAAATTACTTGCTTTCTCTGAACCCCTGTTTCATCTTTTTTGGAATGACGGGGGTTCACAAGATCAGCATTTCCAACACTCAGATAAGACACGAATAAGCCACCTATTAGAAGCCGTGCTATGGGCAAATACGTTGGGGAAGCAGTAGGATGACAAACTTCTTTAGGTTAGGACAACCCAACCCGTTAATATGTTACTATGCGTTGTTGGGCTGCGAGCAGGTGGCCCAGCAGCAGCTCTTCTCGGCCTACTCGGTTGGAAAATGCTGGTCTAGATCTCCCTGAGGGCTCCTGGGGCACTGGCATTCAGAAAGCCTTTACTGGGAGCCTAGTGTATGCCAGGCATGGCATACTGGGGTACCACGGTGAACATACGAGGTGCTGTCCCTGTCCTTTGTGGAGCTTGGCAAGGAGCATTTGAAGAATCTCTGATCCATGAATCATTTTCCCATTCCCTGGTTCTGTAAGTGGGTTTGTCTTCACTGGCCCTTGAATGGTCCTGCCATCTGTGGGTGTGGCCTCGCATTAGCACTACCTAGGCACTTGTGCTAATGGCCAGCCCCCTGAGCTTTCGGACACTCTTTTATGGTGTGGTATGGTACAGATGACCACAATAGCTCATGGTATTGCACAGCCAGAGGGGAGTTCGTGCTGGGGGCCTCCTTGTTCAGGTGGAGCAGGGATGACCCTGCAACAGAGTGCCCCGAGGGCCCAACCTCCTGCCACACGCAGATGCAGAACCCGGTCTCTGAGGCCCCCCAGCTCGACACCAACTCCAGATGTCAGGAAAATCGGGCCCCATCCTTTGGCAGACTTACACTGGACTTGTCCATAAGCAGCCCCGGTTTCCAGCCGGCACCCACGTTTCCCCAGCCAGTCCTCTCTCTCTCAGCAAAATGAATGGCCTCCCCTGGCCTTCACTGACCTAGCTGCTACTCACTGCCACTTGCTGTGGTTGATGAACGGACCAGCTGCTTCCAAGATTAGATTCTGGTGGGCTCTCACCTGCTCTTCAGAGACATGGAAAGCAAGGATTCCTCCTTCTCCCTTCCAGTTGGTTCACCAGGAACAGCTGTCAAAAAAGGTTTCTGGAAGTTTCCTCTAGATCCTGACTTGCCCTCTGTTAATCCCTACCCTTATTTGAGGGCCATGCTACTGCTCCCCTTCTCTTTTCCTTGGCAGGGACTCCCCATGAAAGGGAAGGAGGAAGGGGGTCTCCCTGGTCTGTGTACAGCCTGCCCCCCATCCTGCGATTGGCCGCCCCATTGACTTGCCTGGCTGGATCCTGCGTGACACCCCAGCACCTGTCATTCAGGGGTCCAAATGCCCAAATGCATGTCTATTTGCACATTATAACATCTCCAAGTGGTCCTTAGATTCAAATGCATTCCATACTTTTAGTGCCCTGGGAAAGGAGAGGGAAGGGTACTGCCACCCCAGGAATGGGGCACGTGCTCATTGCCTTGGCACTTGGAAGATTTTTTTCTCACCAATCTAGCAGAGACTAGAGAAGTCAACAGAAAAAAGATGGACACATTCTTCAGCACTAACATAGCATGCCCTGCAATGCCAGTGTAAAAATAACCGGGGCAGGGGTGTGTGTGGCATTTTGCAGCTGGGTAATCTGATCCGCAGAGATCTGCCCAAGGTCAGAGGCTTGGCAGCAGCTCCTGGCCACGCCTACAGCTCCCAACTGTGGACCTCTCTGCCCTGTGTGTCCAGCCCTGCTCCCAGCCCGTTGACTTTAGCCTCTCAACAGCACTGCCTCCCCGGGTTGCCCAACGAGGTGGGATTTTTCTCCTGTTCATGCTGCAAATCTCCTTGGCTCAGGGCCAGCCGTCTTGAGCTTACAGCCGCGTCCCAATGCAAAGCGCCTCATCTCAATGCCGCTGACTGTGGTGACACATGTGGTATAGTTTCACTATCTGCCCAGGTGGCTTTGGCTCAAGTGGCATGGCTGGTGCTTGTCCCCGTCAGAGCCTCAAGTGCCTACAACATGCTACCCGTGCCCTCGCCTCCTCACCTGTAATGTCCCCACAGTGCCTGTGACACTTTCTTCTTGGGATACGCATCACCTGCTTGCCTGGTAGCCAGTTACATAGATGTCATGGAAGTCCTGGATGTCAGCCGTCTAATGTCTACCGATACTCAGCAAATCCTACCCTGGGGCTGTGTATATGTCTGTTCTCAAAAGAAATGGCTTCTTTGTACATGGTGGCTACTGTTCTCTTCTAGGCTTTGAGCTGATAAAAATTGTTGAACCTGATAATATGACAAAGTTATATTTGTGTCTGATATTTTGTTCTCAAAGCCAAGGATACTTGGTTTTCAAACTGGCAGTTCAGTGATCTGTTTGCCTCACTTCACGTGTCACATCTGCCTTTGCTCAGGTTCCCCATAAGGTGACCAATTGTCGCAGTGTGCCGGGGACTGAGGAAGGTTGCCAGGATGTGAGACTTTTGGTTTTAAAAGTGGCATAGTTCCGGTCAACCTGGAACAAGTGGGTCACAGCAGTTCCTCCAAAAGCAGAGCCCGAGACAAGGATTCAGTGCAAACAGTTTATTTGGGTGATTCTAGAAAACACCCTTCAGGAAATATGGAAGTGAAATAGGAATGCAAAGAACACC